ACCCACATGACTCATTCGACCTTAATTGCCTCTTGGAAGGCCCTGTGTGCAAACAGTTACATTCTGAGAAGCTGCAAGTTGGGGCTTGAAGCTTTGAGGTGGGGGAAACAATTCAGCCCCTAATAATGATGAGTAAGGAGTTTCTTTTCTTATATCTGCTATTTGATATTTTTATAATTTAACCTATTAATAGGTTAAATATTTAACCTATATATAAATTATAGGTTATAATTTATATAATTTATAATTTTTCTTCCGGAAATAGTTGTAATTTAACTATTTGATATATATATACATATATATCAGAATCATTTCTGCATTTTGTACCTAATTACTGTGCTCACTTCTAACAGCTTATTCTCCATTTTTCTACATATCCAATCACATTATTTATGATGATCGTATTACCTTCTCACTTCCAGTTGCTATAGCTTTGTTTCTTTTGTCTGGAGCTGTTAAAATAAGGTTAAGAACACTGGCAGTAGATAGTCTTATGTTCCTGATTGGAGTAAGAATATTTTTAGTGGCTTCTGATGTGACTGTTAAACATGATACTGGTTTTTGTGTTGAGATAAAGATATTTTGTCTTTTTAAAGACTTACTCATGATCCACTTATGTTTTAGTACAATTTTGAAAAATCAAAACTGAGTAATTTTTATAAAACGCCCTTTTGGCATCCATGAAGATAATCCCACATATTTTCCTCTTGAGCTAATAATGTATTGAATTTATAAATAAATTTACTAATATTGAGCCATCCTGTGCTTCTATATTTAGTTTTGACATATTCTTCTCATTTGTTTATGGAGTCTTTTGTGAACTACAACCTTATGTTTCTGAGGATAACTGGGAACTATTATGCAGGGAGGTGTTGCTCGGGGTTGAACGCAGGTCCTTCAACATACTAGGCAAGTGCTGTGCCACTAAGCTACTTCCCCAGCCCTTCTTTTTTTTTTAATTATTTTTGAGACAGGATCTTGCCAGGTTGCCCATGCTGGCCTGGAACTTGCAATCCTCGTACCTCAGATTCCTGAGTGAGATTATAGACATGCACTACTGCACCTGGCTTGGAAATGTTTTTTTTAAATGCTTCATTAGAGCTTTCCTATAAAGTTGTTGAGTCTAGTGCTTTGGGGGAAGAGGTTTTGTGGGGGGGGGCGGATATAGAGGTAGGGTGGTATTGTTTTGGTTTGGTTTTCTTTGCAGTGTTGGGAATCAAACCCAGGGCCTCATACATGCTAGAGAAGTGCTCTCCCACTGAGCTATACCCCAGCCCAAAGGATAGCTCTTTGACAACTTTATTTTTTCTATAATTTACCTGTTTAAATTTTCTATCCTCTTGAGTCAGTTTTGTCATTAAATTACATTTTCCTCTCATTTGTTTCTGTTAATTTTCAAATTTATTTGCCAGGCGTGGTGTCGCACGCTTGTAATCCCAGCACTTGGAAGGCTGAGGCAGGAGGATCACTGCGAGTTTGAGAACAACCTGGGCTACAAAGTGAGCTCAAGGCCAACCTGAACTGCATAGCGAGACCCTGTCTCAAAAAGACAAAGAAAAAAAAAAAAGAAAAAGAAAAAAGATAACAGACATCTAAGAAAATCAATAATGAAAAGATGGATTCACTCTCAGATAAAATAAAATAGACTGATTTTATTAAAAACGTATTTAAAAAATAAGTATGAGTAAGATTCTCCAAAAGATAAATAATAAAAACCATTTCAAAAGAAAAGAAAGAGCTGGGGATATAGCTCAGCGACACAAGCGCCTGTCTGGCAAGCACAAGGTCCTGAGTTTGATTCCCAGTACCCAAAAAAAAAAGAAAAAGAAAAAGAAATGATACGGAATAGACAAGTATAAGAACTGATAAGACATCTTAGAAGCAAAGTATAAAGTTACAGAAATTATAGCAGTAGAGTAAACCTTAAGTAGATGTGGTTAGGGAGGGAATTACTGAAGTAGAAAATTGATCTAAAGGTTTTACCTAGAGAACAGACTGTAGAAAGACAGGGGGAAAAAAAAGGCAAATCATAAACCAGGCATAGTGGCGCACACCTGTAATCCCAGCACTTGAGAGGCTAAGGCAGGAGGATTGCCATGAGTTCAAGGCCAACCTGGGCCACATAGTGAGTTGAAGAGCAGCACGAACTACATAGTGAAACCCTGTCTCAAAAAAAAGTCAATCATGTAGTTACTCAGTTAAGAGACATTAAGAAATAGATTGAGGGACTTCAGTATACAACAAATAGGAACTTCAGAAGAGGAGGCTATAAGAATGACTAAGAAACAGTAGCCAAAAAGCCAATGCCTGAGAATTTTCCAGAAATGAAAACTTGGATCCTCTGATTAAAAGTAAAATCTGACTAAGCAGGTAGGTAAAAACCAACCGCAGTGAGAAACAGTCAGTGTAACTATAAAACAAAAAGATAAAAAGAGCTCTTTTCTGACTGGGACCTTGGAAGCGTTGAAGGGAAGAAAAAGAAGGTTCTTGCCATGCTACCACCCCTTAAGAAAAAGTGAAAAGCAGAGCTGAAGGTAAAGTGCCTGAGAAAGACGTTTGCCCAAAAAATGCTTTGAAAGGCAAGGAGAAAGCTCATCTATGAAAAAGCGAGGTGCTGTCAGGAGTATAGACAGATGTACAGAACCGAGACTCAAATGACAAGGATGGTGAGAAATGTCTATGTCCCTGGAGAACCCAAATTGGTATTTGTCATCAGGATCAGGTATATGAGTGGTGTGAGCCCAGTGTTGCAGTTCCTTTACCTTCACTAGATCATCAGTGGTACCTTTGTTCAGCTCAACAAGGCTGCAGTTAACATGCTGAGAATTGTGAACCATGTACTGCATAGGGTACCTACATCTGAGGTCAATAAATAAACTAATGTACTGTACTGGCATGGTGTGGTGGATTGACTAGTGGTAAACTTGTACCACTTAGCTGAGCTGAGTGAGCATGGTGCTGGGTGTGGAAGGTCTACCTGAGGATCGTTGCCAACAGCATAAAAGGAGAACTGGAGGGGAAGGTGCTATGCTGTTGATTCTCCTGGAGGAGTTTGTCACTCTGGTTTTCCTGATACGAACTCACCGTTCTTATCGTTGGAGGTGCTCAGGTCCCTAATGTCCCTGAGGATGGCTGCACTTCTCTTTAGGGGAGCTCTGATCCTTACCTTGAACATTGCTTCCTGGCTCCATTGCAGATCTCTCAGCCTGGTGGTACAGATACGTCATCCTGCTGGCATAGACTTTCTAGCTTCCACCACTGGCCTTTGGGCCTTCCCAATGCAAATCTTTGATATAGACTTGTGTGAGACATGGTAGGCTCTATTCCTCCAGCTAGACTCATGGAGGACATTGCCATGGGCTCTAGATCTTCAGCTGGACTCATGAAATATCGCGTTAATATTATCCCCTAGTACCAGGCGTGGTGGTGCATGCCTGTAATCCCAGCACTTGGGAGGCTGAGGCAGGAGGATTGTTGTGAGTTTGAGACCAGCCTGGGCTACATAAGTGAGCTCAAGGCCAGCCTGAACTGCATAGTGAGACCCTGTCTCAATATGACCAAAAAAAAAAAAAAAAAATCCCCTAGTTTTTTCAGACTGATCAAGCCCACAATCTCCCAAACAAGTGGACAGCAAAGGCTTAAATAAAAGAGACAAATTAATGATTTCAGGGCTCCAGGAGGATCCAAACCCTCTCACAGAATTCAAGCTTCTGGGGGCTAATACCAAGAACTTCTCTAGGTAGCCCATATTTATTATGTTGTCAAACAAAGGGGAATACTGAAGAAAATGCAGGAATCTGGGCAGAACTTGGAAATCCCTCTAAGGACTTCTCCAAGTAATGCATTATATTAATTTAGGAGAACTATGTTATCTCCAGGAAGGCCTTCACTCCAGGAGAGATGCCTGCAGCTACAGTCTTTAGCTAACAGGCTGGAGCCAGGTGTCCTTAGTTGTGGTTTTGTCTTGTCCTTTGAGGCACCAGGCTTCACCTGCCATTAGAGGCTGCCGTCTCCAGACAAGGGGCCTAGGCCTTAGGCAGACTTACAAGTAAACGTGAAAAGCCAATTGGTAAATATAAATCCTGCTCAGAGCTACTTTGTATGGTCTCCATCAGTGCAAGACATTGCCGTGGGATCCAGGCCCTCAGATTCTTTGGGTCTTTAGCTCATGGACAGATATCTCTTACACTCTTCTGCATTTGACTCTTTGGGTGAATATTATAGAATAATCCTATAAATTATGTGTCCTATATTAAATCTATTCCCTTGCAAACGCTGACTACAACATGGGGCTATGGCAAAATCAGAAAATCAATTAAGAATATAAGAGGTTTGAACAACAGAAATAATAAATTTAATGTAACATAGGTTTTTTTTTTTTTTACCAACAATAGAGAATTTAGAGCACCCAAGCAATAAAAAAATTAACTGTGTCCTAAGTCACCATAAAGTCTCCAAAATTTAAAGTAACCAGAATCATACATACCATATTCTCTAACCACAGTAATTAAACTTGAAATGAACTTTAAAAACCTCAACTGACTACAAACTAGAAAAATGTACTTCTAACCAACTCATAGGCTCTCACAAGAAGCTTGAAAACAGAGTACACAGGAAGTAGGGGAAAGGAAGGGCAGATTAAAGATAAAAACAATTAATAAAATGGGGGAAGTAGAGCAATTCTCTGCTACTGTGGAACTGGCCAAGAAGAAAGTAGGTGCCTAGGCCTACCCAAGGTTTATTTTCTACACAAGCAAACTTTCTTTAGCAGATATTAGTGTCAGCCAGGAAAAATACAGGGATGAAAACATAAAGTATAAGTTTATCATGAGATTTTGAGGGGTATACCTTAAAACAGAAAACTTACCACAGAACCTCATAAGGGAAAATGTTAAATTTGTAGAGTTATCTTATTGTTGCTTATTTTGTTTAAATTTTTTATCATGCTGTTTAATAGTTCATTTTCTATATTTGAGATATTTTTCTCTGCCCTCTTGCAGGTTACTCAGATGAGTCGTCCGGACCTGATTCTTTTTCTGATGAAGTACCTGATGGCTCTTATAGTTGGTATTCCCTCTATTTTTTGGGTTGGAAGCAAAAAGACATGCTTTGAATGGGCCAGTTTTTTTCATGGTCGTAGGAAAAAAGAGTAAGTTCATAAATTCTCAATGTTCACAAACATCACATTTATGTAAGTTTTGTGTTGCTTATATTAAAACAGTTTGGATTGGGAGTATTCAAGTATTCAAACAAGACTGTAACTTTGACAGCAGCCACCAGTTATAATTGGCACGATAGCATTTCATAATTAAAACCTAATGTCTGATTTTCAGAAGATGGCCAAGTGGAACCGTGCCTGAGGTCTGTTGCTTTACTATTTCAGAATATTGGAAGCACTTACTGATCTTGGTGAAAAAAATCCAAATTATAATTTTGTTAAAATTAAAAACAAATTAATTCTTCCCTAAAAGTTTTTACTTGATCCTCCTGATATTCCTGTGAGGGTTGGTATGTATTCTCAACTCTGTTTTACAGATGAAAAAAATAGGACAAAGGTTAAATGCCTGACCACAGTCACGCAGGCATTGAAAATTGAGAGTTAAACTTCACTTGCAGTTATCCATTGTTCTTCCAAATATACCAAAAGGGATGTAGAAAGATAGGCTGTTATTCTATTCTAATTTAATACATGTAAAAGTTTTATAACCTTAATTTATTTTTTATTCTGTCTAATTGCAGCCTGGAGCTGTTGAAACAAAGCTAATTAAGAGTGACAGTGGTACATAATCTTGTATTTCTGTTTTTAATAATAATATTTCTAGTGGCGTCTGGCATTCCCATTAAGCATTTGGCTTTGGGATTAACATAGGTATATTTTCTGCCTATAAGGACTTAATCATATCTGCTTGTGTTTTATTATACAGTAATTTTTAAAAATAAAACTAACATTATCAAGAGAATCAGAGAATGTATATAGTCAACAAATATTAGTCTCCCTTCAACCTTTCTACCCTATTACCAAAAACAACAGCAAAAATCCTTTTGTAATTTGAGAATTAGAATATACTTTCTCAATATGTGGTCCAGTCTGTACATGTTGGAGTTTTATTTTTTAGTGCAATTGTTCATCTGATTTTAACTCTGACTCTCTTTTTTGTTTGTTTGGGTTTTTTTTGTTTTTTTGTTTTTTCTGGTACTGGGAATCGAACTCACAACCTTGTGCTTGCCAGGCAGGTGCTGTGCCGCTGAGCTAAACCCCCAGCCCTAACTCTGATTCTTATAGGGAGTCACTTGCATAAATGAGCACATGCATAAAGATCTATTTAATTTGCTCTTTTATTTAATTGCTGCTCTATTCATCATCATATACATCTACTTTTAATCCTTTCATAGCAGTTAAAAACCTTTGCTCCTAACAACAGTTCATCACTTTAAATTTTTTTCCTTAGCTTTTAGTATGCCCGGGACTTAATCTTTGTAACGTTTGGTGTCCTAGGAATTGTAAATTTCCTTAACTTAAAAAAATTTCCTTAACTTAAATTTCCTTTTTAGAAATGATGAAATTAGTATATACCTTCATTTTCTATTTGAGAAAAATGAAGGACAAAAGGGATAGCGATTTGCCTAAAATCACATATTTATTGATAGAGTTGAAACTAAAATCCTGATTTCCTTTTTCTAGCACAGGCCTCTTTCTAGCATATCACTTTAGGGGACAGATTGACAGGATTTTTCTTGTAATTCCTTCCTCTGATAACAGTATTACTTTATATCAGTCCTAATGACCTAATTTGGAGACCAACTACTTTCAAGAATATGATCACTTTTGCATGGCACTATTGTTTATTGGTCTGTTCTACCGGGTGTTAGTCCATATCTGAAACATATTATTATATTTTCTAGGATAGTGAATGAGAGCCGACAGGTACTCCAGGAGCCTGACTTTGCTCAGTCGCTCCTGAGGGACCCAAATACTCCTATAATAAGAAAATCCAGGGGAACATCCACCCAAGGAACATCCACACATGCATCTTCAACTCAGCTGGCTATGGTGGATGATCAAAGGAGCAAAGCAGGGAGTGTCCACAGCAAAGTGAGCAGCTATCACGGCAGCCTCCACCGATCCCGTGATGGCAGGTAGGTTTTTGTGAGTAACTTAGGTTATCGTGTGCTGAATGAAGAGTAGCCAATTTGGAAACAGAAGTTGAATGTCATTAAGTTTTTTGAACTTTTCTAAATAGAATCATCCCTTATGTTCCAACATAAAGCCAGTTAGAGGACTTTAGACTTTAGATACAGCAAAGTAAGCAATATGGAGTCATTGTGGGGCATTGAGCAGGGAAAAGACAAGATGGAAGTGGTTAGGTTAGTAAGATTAATTTAGTCAAAAATGACAGAATACTTGCCATGGCACTGTGCTAGCCTCTGGGAATACAAAGATGACTTACGCACGATCTGTGCTTTTCATAAGCTCCCAATCTGTCTGGAAAGATAGTATAGCCAATGTGGTGGTTAGGAACATGAGACTGAAAGATAAGTCTCAGTTTCCTGACCTATAAAATAGGAATAGTGCATCTGACCCTTTTAGTAATGTAAAAATTAAATGAGGTAACCCACCTTGTCACTTGGAACAGTACAGTTAGTATCTAATATCACCTTTTAGTTAAAGTAAAATGTAAGTGCAATAGCGCAGTTCAGGAATTGGCAAACTTTTTCCATAAAGAGCCAGATCATAAACATTTTAGGCTTTATAAGTCAACTGTGCTGTTGCTGTTCACTATTTAGTTCTGCTATTATGTCGTGAAAGCAGCCGTAGACAACGTGCAGTCAGATGGGAATGGCTGTAACCCAATACAACTATTCCAAAATCAGAAAGCGGCAGCTTTGGCCATGAGGCCATAGTTTTCTATCCATGTTTACTAGGGATAGTAGAAGAACAGAGGGAGTGATTAAAAAGCGTTTCAGGCATTGCTTACAGAAAGAATGCTTGCAAGGTGTTTGTCTGGGGGTTTCTTGTTAATTTTGAGGATTAAGTCCCTGGGAGTAGAAAATGCCTACAAGCCCTGCAGTAAGACATTTGAGAGACGATCCAGGCATATGGAGAGCAGTGACAGTGGGAAGAGAGGAAGAACTGACCTCAAAGGTACACAGGAGAGATGGCGGGAGTTGGTGACAGATTTGTATAGCTGCTAGAAAGAAGCAAGATTTTTCTTACCTTTTTATAAGTTTGGGAAACTAATGAAAATGCTAATGCCTAAGATCTGCAGTGTTTGTAACCTATCAGTCCTGCCTTCTTTTAGTTCTCTCTGTCTTCCTACACTCCCATTTTCCTGTACTCCCATTCTGACCTGCTCTTTCCCCTCTTTCCCCTTCTTGCTCTCTTTTTCCTTCTAACTTGAAGAGCTGCACTGTGTTTCAGAAAGTAGTTTGACTCTGCTACATCTTCTTTTATCTATTTTACTTTGCCTTCCCAGATGTTTGAAATTATAAAACTTTGAATATCTCTTTTCTATCTATCCTGTCCTTCCTCTCCTATAACTCTAGTCTTTTTCTGCCTCTTACTTACTAAATTGCACCCTTTAGCACCACCAGTATCTTGTTTTTAACCACATTCAATGATCGTTCTCCTTCTTGGTTCTTCCCTTCCACTTAGCACTTCTATATGAGAAGCATTCTTTTAAGTTTTAAAGCCACAAAGATGGAAGACAGAAACTAAACAGTTACAGTATGCTTTAACAGGCATAATAAAAGTATGCAAAGGGTGCTTTGGGATCCCAGAGAAAAAAGCCACCTATGTCATCACAGAAAGTCAGAGACAGCTTCCCAAGAAGGGGCGCTGGTATTTTGGATAGGATTCAGAAGAGTCAACTGGGAATGAAAGATGGGGAAACAGCAGCAAAGAGGAAGCAGGCTATCAGCTGCCTGAGTATCGCCCCAAGCACAGTGTGTACATCTGGACAGTTTTAGGAGATGAAACCATGCTGAGGAATTTAGATTCTCCCCTGAGGGCAATAAGAAACTGTTAAGGACTTTCAGCATTAGAGTGATAAAATCAGACTTGAATTTTAGAAAAAACACTCGGCAGCAACATCAGTAAGGAGATGGTAAGACCAATGAGGAAGGTTCTACAGTGACTTAGCACCTCTAACATAAGATTCCAGTAAGAAAGGGGAGAATCATAGAATCCCTTAGAATATATTTAATTAATCATCATCTCCATGAACTTTCAGCATTGATATTTGACATGATTGGCCTTATCCTTTTCCATGATGCATAACAGGAATAGTACAACTCCTGTACATGCGGCATTCTGTGTATAAACATATATAGAAGAAAGTAAAGTATAATTTCTATGACCTTATAAACAAGATAGGACATATACAAATGAACCAGTTACATAAAAGTTCAAGCCAAGATAAAATTTAAATAGTGTTAGAGATGATAGATGTTACAGAACTTTAGGAAAAGAAAGAGTAGTCCATGAAAATATCTTGGAGGAGATAAACAGGGTAAATGAATGGTAAAAGGTATGCTCCTATTGAGTGGAGAATTTCTGAGAAGAGTTAAAGATAGTTTTCAGCTACTGTAGTCTGAATGGAACTGTAGCTTAAATAAGAAAATGTATAATCATACATTTTTAAAGTAGCTGATAATTAAAATTGTGAAATAGAATCCCTTGAATTACAATAAAAAGAACAAGACCTTTGTAAATACTTACAATAGTAATAATTATACATAAAGAACAGTGGGCTTGAGAGTCAAAGAACATGCTTACAGACACAAGAAAATACATACTCCTACAAGTGTATGGCATGCAAATCAGAGACTAAATTATGCCTTCTGCCTTTCTGCTTAATCAAAATCACACCCATTCTCTAGGCCTGAGTCACTCCACATTCCATGGCAGTTAACTTACTGCTTTTTGTCTTTATCGTTTTTTTGCTTATGATCTATTTTCAGTACGGTTTTCTTCCTCAGCCAGATTTATAGCTTCTGGAGAATGAGACTGAGTGACATATATCTCTATATTCCTCTTTATTATATAGCACAGCACTAGATAGATACACGTATGTATTTATATTTACCAAATAATGACGTTAAGAGTAATGTGGGAGTTTCCCAGAAATTCAGGTCCCAGAACTACAGTGCATCCTACTGAAGGCCTGCTGAACTATGGTACTTGAACTCCTACTATAGGACCCTCTGTCATACTCAGACCTTCAGGGAAAATTTGAGAGAGCCCAAGCTGGTGTTGAACCTAAACGTCTGGACAAGGATTTTCATAGTTCGAAGCCACCTCCTAGTGCTGACTTGAGGTGTGATGGTATCTTTTGGGCTCCTGTCATCATCCCATGGTATACTGGCTGTGGGACTCACCCAGCATCTACCCTGGTGCAGACTCCTGGGTGGTAATTATTGATCTTTGTGCTATGTATAGTACACCTACACACTCTATGTCAGCTTCAAAGAATAATTGGTAGTTAGATGAGAGATGGATAATGGAGAAAGTGGCCGAGTAGGAAAGTGGAGGTCTAGGAGAGAGTGATTGGGTTGGTAAGTAGGTGACATGACAAGGGAAATCTAAGGAGTGAATAATGAGATATTCATAAAACTACTATTAGTTCAGTTATTTAGATTAGCGGTAGCAAATGGCATGGAGAATCAAAAAGAGATCATCTCCAAGTTTTATTCATTTTGATTTTGGCATGTCCATAATATCTTTTTAACAGCCACAGCAAAAGGAGCATCCTAATTGTTTGCTTAAGCTTATGTTAAAATTACTGTATTCTCATATTGTATATTAGAGTATATAGTCACATTAGTTTAAATTTGTTAATTCCTACATACACAATTTAGATTAAGCACTATAATTAATTTTCTATTTAGCTGGTTCCTAATTATCCATAGGCAGGATGTTCACATTTGGTATTTGTTCATATTCCAAAACTTTTTGTGGGTAATATATATGTATTAAATTATACAAAATAATTTTTGTGTAAAAATATATTCTTTGAGTCTTATTTATAACTCAAAGCTAGACTTTATTAGAAAATACACATTCATATTCTAACATGGTGATTTGTTTTTATTTTCTTAACTGATTTTCTGTCATTGCTGGAATACCATGTGGTTTGCTTTCTTCATTTGCTGTATTTATTTGACATAGATGCTCATGAAGCCTTTTAGAGAAGATAGATGTATGAAGCCATCAAGAGGCAAAAAGTCTCCAAATCAGCTGGCAAATCATATTTGGAAATTAAATCATCTTAATTTTAGAACAATAATCATTATGTAAAATGATTATTAAAGTAAAACAAGGGGCTGGGGATTTAGCTCAGCGGCAAAAAGCGCCTGCCTGGCAAGCGCAAGGTCTTGAGTTCGGTTCCCGGTACCGGAGAAAAACCAAAAAAAAAAAGTAAAACAAGAAACCCATCATGAAATATTTTCATCTCCAAATATTGTAACTATTTTACTAAAACATGCAGAACAAATTTAAATCTGTAGGTCCTAAATGTGAACTACCCTTTTGTTACTGAGGTGACATCTCAGTGTCTTGCCATGTTGCCCAGGCTCACCTTGAACTCAAGATTCTCCTGCCTCAGCCTCCTGAACAGCTGGGATTGCAGTTGTCCACCATCCTTAGCTTGAAATTTTTTTAATAAATAAGAGGTAAATTCTCTTTTACCTGTTTTCTTAAATTCAGAACAAAGATATTCTTTTAAAAATTGTTTTCAAAGGACTTCTTAATTTTTAAACTATAATGAAAACATTCTTTGACAAGCACTGTTATAAAACTAGAGGACTACCTTAGTAGTACATGAACCTATTTTTCAAATCTTTAAATTTTTAAAATGACTTACATTGAGTCATGATATTTGTTGCAATTATTATTATGAGGTGAATGCTTTTTGAGAGCCAGTAAATCTTCACCGGCTTATTAGTTATTCTGATAATTTCTTTTAATGGCTGGGGATTGTATTGTATCTCAGTGGAAGATCACTTGCCTGTCAGGTCCAAGGCCCTGGGATGGCTCCTTAGCACTGCAAAACCAAATCAAAACAAAAAATATATTCATTGAAATTATAAAGTATACTCCATTTTATTTGTATTATCCTAAATTAAATATATTTTATAAAAGAGTATATGACAGTGTGAACGGAAAATACTTTAGAAAAGTATTTCCTGAAGCAGTAGAGATTAAAAGAGAAATAAAATATGGCCCTTATCCTGAAAGAGTTCACTGTTAAACCAGAAAGACTGATAAATAGCATGCTAGCTCCATAAGTAAAGGACTAATAAAAGTTTATAATTGGTTTTCTTGACCTTGACTGGCCTAGACCTAATATATAGCACAGCACGAGATAGATAATATAGATAATAATATCTCACTCGTTGTGGCCGGGAATTTTACAGTATTCTTGCCTCTGCTGGAGCTCAGTGAGTCAGGATTGTAAGAAAAGAAAATTTAACAGCCCCAGTGCTGTGTTTCAGTCTAGATGGGAACAGATGGAAGAGGCCGTCCGCACTACGCTGTGGGCCGGCGCCGGCTCAGAGCTCAGAGCGGCCTCCTTCGAGGCTAACGGGATTGGCAGCAGGCCGCAGAGTGTCAGTCTTTCTGTGAAAGACTGTCTTCATGGCCTTGAGGCCTCATGAAAATAGCTAAGAGCACATACAGGTGGCTGATTCAGCTGTTCATGAGGCTGTCTGGAGATATGACGTGGCCACACACTGTCATCAGCACTTGCCAATTCATTCACTAATTTTGCCTGTGATTTCCCGTATTTCCTCTTGCAGTCCTCGTCTCTGAATAAATTTGAGCTTGCACTACTGCTGATCATAACCAGGCTTCTCTGTTGCCAAGGGCAGTGCCACGTCCTTCTGTTGTCATTCTTCCTCTCCCTCAACCTACCCCACCGCCCAAAACTTGCCTGAATGAGAAAGTGTCCATACTTGGTATAGCTCCAGTCAGTCAGCCTTACTTAACCTTAGCATGTGTCTTGTGGCAGGGAATAGAGCCTGAATTTTGGACCTGAGGTTTCTCCACTTTTTTGTTAATCGTGTCAGACAATTACACAGCATTAATGAACTTACTCTCAACAATCAGAAGTGGTTTCTGCTTTCTCATAATTGGTTTCTTAATCATTTCATCCCCTGAGACATGTTCGTGGAAAGTATGGGTGTTCTTTTCTTGTATGTTCTGTTACATACTTCAAAACCAACCCTCCCACCTCAGGTACACCCCCTGCAGTTACCGAGGGATGGAGGAGAGACTACCTCACGGCAGCACGTCCCGCCTGACGGACCACTCCCGGCACAGCAGTTCCCACCGGCTGAACGAACAGTCGCGACACAGCAGCATCCGGGACCTCAGCAACAACCCCATGACCCACATCACACACGGCACCAGCATGAATCGGGTTATTGAAGAGGATGGAACCAGTGCTTAATGTGTCTTGTCTAAGGTGGAAAAGTTGTGCTACGTAAAAAGCGGATTTTGTTCTCTGCCTTTGCATGACAGATGGCTGTAACTCACTGTCATCCCGCTTTCAGTCAGGTGTGGCGTGTGTCCATTGGGAAGGTAAATTTTCGCTTTTTATATTGAATCAAACTTGGAACATCAAGACATGCAAAACACTAGGAATTGTATTGTCACAGAAATAATTCTTTCTAGATTGTGAAGAGATAATTATTTGTCTGGTAAGCATTTTTATAAACCCACTTATTTTATATTTAGAAAAATCCTAAATGTGTGGTGATTGCTTTGTAGTGAACTTTCATATACTATGAACTAGTTGTGAGATAACATTCTGGTAGCTCTGTTAATAACACAAAGTTTCAGAATTAAAGGAATTTTCTATGCAAGGTTTATTTCTCAGATGAATAGCAGGACTTTGTAGTTTTATTTCCAGTAAGAAAAAAAAGAACTGTTTTTAAACTATAGGAGAATTTGATAAATGAGCAAGGGTATTTTCACTAATGGAATTTAAGTCAACAGAAGAATCTGATTAGTCTATGGGAGGTTCTCTTAAAATTCTATCAAAATAAACTGTATTCTGAGATATTCAAAATTTGGTTTAGCAATGAAATGAAAGCAGAGATGGGCATTTTCCTCCTATAATTGTGTTGTTTTTTACTTTTGTAAATATTACTTTTACTGGCTATTTTTATAACTTATCCATATGCATGATAGAAAAATTTTAGTTTGTAGCCATCTTTTTCCCAGGTTATAGTACTGCTTCATAGAAAACTTCACGTTCAGATATGCTCTGTGAGGCATGTAATAAGCATCACACATTATAAGGCTTTTTGTGGTAACCACAATTACAAAATGGCAAAATATCTTCTCTGTGTTCATTGTTGTACTTTTCTACAGTGACGTCAGTGACCTTGCCAAAGCCACTAGGCCTTGGTACCCAGGCCCCTCCTATAGCAAACTGATTGTCTGTACTTGCATTGCCAGTAGCCAGTTGGCTGCAACTCTTGCTCCACATCCCTATTTTTAGTTTCTGGACCATATAAAGCTGAAATATATATACTCTAAGCCTAAAAATGGTGATTAATTTGGGTATTTGAAAATCATTGTAGCTAAGTGGAGCATGATTAGTCTTGCTATGAATATCTATTAATCTTAAAACTATCAAGTCAAAAAGTTTGACGTTTTATCTTGTAATGTTTAAATAACTTACAATGTGGTGGTAAATTCTGTGAGGCATGAAATTGATCAAAAAGAAAGGTTCTGGAACATGTCAGATGAATTAAGTAGAAAATGCAAGTGATCCTCAACCCTGACTGCAGGTAAGAATCACTTAGGGAAAGGTGTTGGATTCAATTTAATAAAAGACAAAGAACTTTGCTGATGATTCTAATTTGCAGCCAGGCTTGACACCTGTTGTTTTAAACTCACTTGCCCTGCCTGGTGATGAGGGATGGAATCACATTGTACTACGTGAAATCTAGCTGGATTCAATGATATGCTTGTACATCATTATCTGATACATAATTGTTTTCTACCTTATTGTCCATTATAAAATGCAGAGTTCTCAGTTCCACTCCTAGGGATTCTTATTCAATAAGCCAAAGGTGGTAGGACTTTAAAATCTATATTTATAAAAATAACAGTTGATTCTTATGTAGGTAATCCAGGAATCACACAAAGAAAAAATATTCTAGACTCTAGGGAGGCCTGGCTCTGCCATACGCTAGTTTTTGACCTTTAACAAGTCAGCCTCTCTAAGCCTGGGTCCCCTTGTTTGAAAATGAAGATTGAAGATGAGTTTTTACTCTACCTACCTCACAAAGTTGTCAAATTAATAAGGTCAAATGAAAACACTCATATGAAAGCTCTTTTGAAAATTATAAAGGATTATGAAATATAAGGAATTCAGATTGACTATTGGTGATCTAAGAGGTTTATCTGAGGACCATTGTAGTACATTTCTTAACATATGTTTAATTCACGTGTATATTTCTCTCTCACCGTTTTAAAGCAAAAGATACCAAAAAATTAGGTTTTGGGAAAAAAAGTTTTTATCAGGCATAAAAATCAGTTTTCTAATAGCCATAATTTATTTGTGTATCATGTTAGTTTCTTCAAAGTACATAAATTTTACCATCACTTCTTCATAAGATATATTTGCACATTTGACCCAAAATGTTACTCTTTTTATTTGGTCCTTGTCTTTCTCCTTGGAACTGGAGTTAGTATTCAAATAGACTGGGTCTGAATTCCCTCATAACTGACAGTTAGCAAACCCTTTCTATGAAGGCCCAAATTATAACTCATTGATAAGTAAGTCAATAATTCACAAAGCTTTCTGTCTGATAATCTTTCCTGAAACAGCATGAGAGAACCAAAACAAACATCCATAAACAAAAATAAGAAGTTAAAATAGAAGTTACCAGTTTGAGCTCAAAGATGTTGTCATCTATCACCATCTGCATGATATTATCAACTGCCAAAATGTTAATTGGTATTCTTGTATAAGTGGGCCAAGTATAAACAGTTAAGTGAACATTGCTATGAAACTCTTAACTTTATGCACCCAGATTTTATATATTTATTTGTATCTTCTTTATTAAATGGATTATTGGTATATATGTGAATGCTGTATTGACCTTTCAATATTTTAATTTTGCTGTAGAAAATTTACATAACATTGTTAATCCATTGTTTGAAGAAGCAGTTTGGACCATATTATTAAGCTAGTGCTCCAAATTAAGAATTTTTTTTTGTTTTTAAAGAGACCATCAAAGAACTATAGCAAAACAACAATATCAAGTCTCAACTTGATCCAGTCAACTTGAACAAGTCTGAACAGTTTTCTTGCCATGTCTTTAACTTTAATTTGTGCTTAATGTTTTATTTGTACAATTGACAACTAAGGAAACAATAGTTTTCTCTAGGATGTTAATATATAATCTAAAGGTTTTTGAAAAGTACTTTCATTACAGCAGTATTGTTTCATCCAGGAATTAGGTAAAAGATCTAAGACAGTACTAGACTCAAAACAATAATTTGTTTCAGAAAACAATTAACCCAACAGCTAGCACTGAAGTTAGCACTTAGCAAGCTTTTCAATAAGTATTTAAATTTGTGAACAACTCTTGTCATGCAACTTAAATTTAAACTAAGTGAAGTGAATTAGAAATGCATAAATTATAACAAATGAAGCTTATTTCTCATAGAGTAATACTACTATTTTAATTAAGGGAGTATATGTACAAACATGCCAAACTTTTAAATTAATTTTTAAAAGTAAACAGTGAGTCTTAGAAATAAGTAATTAAGCTCCGTTAGCCTCATGCTAAGTTAGAGCTCTGTGTACCATTTATGTGAATGAATATTCTAGCAAACCTTTCTGCTGCTTTTTTTAAAAGCAGATTTATAAAAATTCTAAGGATCTCTTCAAATTAGAAAAATTCATCATGTTTTAACCTATCTCATTAGAGGTAGTTATTTCCCACCTCATGGAAATAACTAAAATTATACCCATTTTAGTTCAAGCTATATCCCCATGAAGTAAAAGTAATTACAATTTGTCAATGAAACAGCAGATCATTAGTGAGAGCTTAGAAGACATTATTATACCAAAATTTCATTACGGTGATTTTTATATTGCTTTTTGACATGCCAAAGATACATTTAGGTATAATCATATTTGGATGACTTACATAATCTAACATAATAAAATTCCACTGGACTTGGAATTTAAGGATCCATAATTATGATGTCAAGTGGACTGGTCATTTAATTTCTTACAATTTTAATTTCTTCAGTATAAAATGAGTAGAAGGTAGTTTTTGGTCTAAATCTACCTCACTGGATGTTGTGAGGATCAAATGAAATAATATATGTAGTGTTTCATAACCTATAAATTACTATAGTGGTACTGTTTTTGTTAGAATTTAGGGTGATTCTAGAAAACAAGAATATGGTCTTCTGTAGTATTTTGGGAATTTTTTGTTGTTTTGTTTTTGTTTTTGAGACGGAGTCTCACTAAGTAGTGGAGGCTGGCCTTGAACTTGCTTATGCAGTCCAGGCTGGCCTCAAATTTACAGGTGCTGGGATTACAAGTGTGCACCACCACACCCGGCTGTAGTATTTATTTTTAGCAGTAACAACAAAATAGGCAATTAGACCAATATTCATTTGGCCTAATCCTTAAATCGGTGATACAATTAACCTTCTTTAAAAAGTTTCTTTTTCAAGAGTAGCTATTCTTTTGAATTGTTTGGCTCTGATATATGTTACATGAATGTGTGCTCAAATTTTATAAGGTTGAATTTGCAGGTCATTTCTAACAGAAATTTGGGGATCTCCATTACATGTTCCCTTTTATATGGAATTGTATAAGTACATTCGCTTGGCTTGACTGAAATTTATAAGAACAACATAAAGAGGAAGCTAGGCCTTGTAACTTTTTTTATGAGTACAGTTAACTATGTTACCTAATTCTTTCTGGTTGAGAGCAAGTTTTGGAAAGGTGATTACTGTATCTTCTTGGTTTTAATCATCATCAGACTTTGAGTTTCAAGTTACAACACTAAGAGTGATTGTGTATATATGAATTTTTTAAAAAAAACCTATGTACCATTGTTCACACACAAAGTATAGCATTTTTATAGACTGAAGATTTACAAAGGAAATCCTGATTTCTTTTAAACTTTTTATGACCAATTAAAATGGGAAAATACAGTATTTACATTTAATTCAGTTTGTTATTAGTTATAGCATATTATATGCTATGTAGCTAACAGCAGTTTGCTATTATTAGTTATACAATTTCATACACTATTCTTATATAATTTTGATCTATTTTTTATATGAAAAAATATGTTGGTATCTCTTATAGTTTAATTCTCTTGTGTGTGTGTGTGTGTGTGTGTGTGTGTGTGTGTTTTGATTTTGTTCCAGTTATGAGCTTTGGAAAAGGAAGACTAAACATCTTTCACCTTCCATCTGACTGTAATCAGTTTTTTTTTTTTTTTTTCCTAATTTTAACTGTATACTTCTTTACTGGTCATGTTGATACAAGATTATACTTTCTCTCAGGATCCACATCTTCTAGGAAAGCAAATGTTAAGATCTATCCAGAACCAGTCATCTTTGTAGACATTCTTATTTTGGCTTGTTTGGTTTTGTTTTTTTTTTAGGGAGGGTTTTTTGGTACTGGGATTTGAACTCAGGACCACATGCTTGCCAGGCAGGCAGTGTGCTGCTGAGCTATATCCTCAGCCCCTTATTTTGTTGATTTGTAAAGATTTAATGCAAGTTAATAAGCATATTTCTTACTTGATGATCTTTAATTAGAAAGTAAAACTTTTGTTGCTATAAAGATAAAAGAAAATATTCACTAATATTTTAATCAAACCTTAAACCAGTACAGTGTTGCTTCCTATAAAATAAACTCATTCAATCTGTGTAAATGCATTGAGGGATTATTTCCTTCACATTTTTAAAAAATAATCACCTTTGTCTGTTGTGTCCTTTATGGATATTTTTATTGGTATGATAGTATTGTTCATAATTTACTCTCACTTTAATGAGTACTTAAACCAGTTTTTTCAGATAAGGAGACAAATTTTTACCTTATAATATTTCAGAATTTTAAAAATCAGTATTCTACTATTCTGCTAGTTACCATTAACTAGTACAGGTATATTTTAAAGTCTTTTTCAAGCTTGTTACATTTTCTGAAGTACACTTTAATAATAATAGACAATATTATTATTAAGGTAGATAATATTATTTTATTATTATTGCTACCCTAAGGTTTTTGTCATGTAACAAACTTATATAACTTGCAAATATTTCTTTGTATTGTGCTTATTGACTTTTT